AGGTCAATAATGAAATAAATGTATTTAAAATAATGTTACTGAGATATTACTTGGTAGTATAATTCTTTTTCAATTTTGCATCATATGTTCTGAGTGTGTCTTGGTTTGCCATGGACAGTTCATATGAGCCATACCCTAAAGTTTGTCTAAGCAGAACTTGTGTCCCCTTGCGGCCTTGCATTTAAAAGTCCTCTATTACACAAAATTGACTGTTTTGAGCATCTAGCCATGTTAAAATGTGGTTACCTCAATCAAAATTATTCTGAATCAAAATTATACTCAAACACAACTTGAGGTATGTTTTTGATAAGGAAACAACATTACTAACAAACAAAATAGTGCAGAAAATGCATAATATGGGCCCTTATACAATATGTATAAAATAATAAATACAGGTTTAGGTTACTAAAAAGCATCAGCTATCAGCTAAACTCATTATATAATATTTAATTAAAACACACACATCATTTTACAGGGGCATCAGAGCCTTGCTTTGTGTTTTATTTCAGTCAAGTCCCTTTTTAAACAGATTGCACATTATGAGTTTTCTCTCTAAACCTGAGGGCCAAGATCTGAACACCAAGTTCTGCATAAATTGCAGAATTGCAGAAATTCTCTGACTCTGCAGTGGTCGGGTGTATCAGAGATGATGAAGAGCTGGAGTACAAGACAGTGATTTTGTGGAGTGGAGTCAATCACCAGTTCCTTGGTTGACAAGACCAAGGAACTGGTGATTGACTTTAGGAGGAAGAGAACAGCAGTGGAGCCTGTCACCATTCAAGGCCATGACGTGGAAATAGTGGACAAGTACCTTGGCGTCCATGTGAACAACAGACTGGACTGAAGGGACAACAGTAATGCTGTGTACAAGAAGGACATAAGTAGATTTTACTTCCTGGGCAAGCTCAGGTGTTTCAAGGTGTGCAGCAAGTTACTGGAAATATTCTACCAATCTGTGGTGGCCAGCACCCTGTACTTCACTGTGGTCTGCTGGGGCAGCAGCACCAGTAAAAGGAACATGGACGGATTGACAAACTGATCGGCTGTGAGCTGGAGACATTTGTCACAGTGAGGGACAAGAGGACACTGGACACTCCTGCTCACCCACTGCACCAGACTATAGAGGGACAGAGGAGCTCATTCTCCAACAGGCTCCTACAGCTCCATTCAGAGATACAAGACTACATTCATACTATAATACTCCCTACAACTGAACAACTACTCACCCTTATGTAACAGATAATACTCTCTACAACTGTACAACAACTCACCCTCATGTAACAGATAATACTCCCTACAACTGTACAACAACTCATCCTTATGTAACAGATAACCGCATGTCCTGTCAATCTTCATATAAATTTTACACTGTTTTGCTTATGACCTCTTGTATAACCTCTTGTAAGCTGAGATTTTTTATTATTTATTTTTCTATTTTATTTTGACTTGTACATATATATTTATATAATTATGTGTTATTTGACACAAGTCTCTTGTGATATTTTGAGATACTTATTTAGAATTTATTATTACCATTTATATTTTTTACTCGTTGTTATTATAATATATTGGGATGTGTGAGCTGCTGAGTCCAAGTAATTTCCCTTGTGGATCAACAAAGTTTGTCTAAGTCTAAGCCCCTGGACCAAGCACACGTGTATCTAGCTCAAAATCTTTCTGGGGCCCTAACAGATTCAGCTTCAGGTCTTCAGTGGTAGATTCCTCCCACTTCAAATCCAAAAATTGATGATGCATCAAAATTTCTAATACTGCAGTGTGATTTAGCATGTGGTTAAGCACAATAAGAAGACTAGTGTGGTACCTTGGTGAGCCTGTTGGAGATACTGGAGGGCATCACACTGGGGAACCTTTTGGGTATTTTCTATTTTGCCAAGTGAAATAAACAACAAAAATGTTACAAGCAGCAAACGCTCTGGTAGTTTGAATATGGTACACATTTCGTAATGAGACAGTGTTGGTTGTGGCTTGGTGGAGGGACCCTTCTGCATCATCAGCAGGTACCTCAGGATCCCAAGCAGGATTTGAATGCTTCACCAGAGTGGAGCAAAAACGGTTTCCAACTCCAATCTTTTGTCAGCTACAACCATCTTGAACTTTAGTCGGTTACAAGAGCAATCTCCCCCTAGACCTTTGCCATCTACTTGAGTTCTTAGACGATTCTCTGGAGAAAATGACACACAGATGATCAAGGAAACCTGGGTCAGCCCACATCGATGGGAAACAGCAGGGCTGCGTTCCACCCTATAAAAAGGGCTTCATCTGTGAGGTCCTGGGACTTGGACTACTTCAACTCATGGATTACAATCTTTCCTCCGACAGAATGGTAACGAATCATTTAGACCAACTCCGCCACTTCAAATGCAATGTCTGTTATGGTCTACTGGAAACAAGGTAATGAAAGGCTCCATATTGATACCTTAAAGTCTCATTGAAAACGGACTGTTCTGTGTGGTTATAAACAACTGGTGCAAAATCATTCATACCACTGTGGCATCTGTCAAAAATAGACTCCTATGTATTTTTGCCTCAGAGCTGCAGATCGGAGACAAGGCACAGTTGAGTAAACCGTCTCATTTAATTGGAACACATTCTAATTGTACGGGGGATGTGACAGAGTTGGTGTAAATAACGCGTAAGCTTTGTTACCACGGTTGATTTTGTGCTTTTTGACAGGTGGATCATGTCAGGATGGAGAAGGGTAACCGCCCCATTGCTTGAGAAAACTAGCTTCTTTTTATGGTCCACCTGCATCTCTCAATCAGTTTGTTGATGCAAAATGAGGGCAAGGTGTTATTTAAGGTTTTCTACTTGTTGGCAAGTAAATCCAACCAAGGCGATGGGTTAGAGACAGTGATTGCCTAAAACAGAGATCGACTAGAGATGTGACTTATCAGAAGCGGCGATCAGGTGAATAATCGCTGAACAGACATGAGGAAATAAACAGCATACAAGAGGATTTTATGGACATACGTGTTTATTTAGCGACTCTTTTGTGATGTGGACATGGACCAGAGAAAGCGAATAAGAGAACTGTGTCAGGAGACTAGGAAGAAAATTATAGACAAGCAGGATAAAGATAAAGACAATAAGACCATCTCCAAGCAGCTTGATGTTCCTGTGATTACTTTTGATTTCTTCTCGTCATTTACGCACTCACCTGCATTTAATGCTGTAATAGCCCAGATAGCAACTTTAGCGATTATTAGGGAAACAGAGTAGAGCTGAGCCGATTTTCAGTGCAGACCTAAAGTGCATTTATTCTACCATCACAAGAAAAATTGAAAAATATTTACAAAAGATACAAAAGTTAAAACCAGCATAGTAGACCTGCACACACACACACACACACACACACAGCACCTCAACCTCAACAAATGTGAGACTGGCTCCTTTTATAGGCCACCTTCCTTAATTGAGTGATCTTATTCCAAAATAGAGGTAAGTACAGGTAAGTGAATGCAATGTTTAAATAGTTGACAATATGAAAACAGGGCTGACAAATATTCAATTAAATCTGGTACAAAAAGATATATCTTAATTAATTTAGCAGTGTTTTAATAATGTCAAAATACTGAATAGAAAAGAGCTAAAATCTCTGCGCACCCCTCCTCCTAACAACATGGTTGCCTGCCCCGGAAATTTCTAAAGGTGCTCTGGCTCACCAGGGACTCTTTTAGCCGGAACACCTGAGGCAGACCACAAAAGAGGGTAAGTACAATTCATTTCACTCACAATTACCATATTTTCCAGGCTATTAGTTGCGCTCTTACGCCTCTAACCGCATCAAAAAAGGACCGCGCGCCAAGCAATCCAGAGCACCCTATACACGAATCCAATCGGGTGTCCCAGTACGACTTCAGTAAACTATAAAGCCGCACCACCCGCAGCTCATGCAAACACGCACGGAGCAGACAGCGACCGCGAAGCGAAACACACCCGCAGCCACACTCATCACTCCACGCCGACGAGGAACGGAACGAAGGAATGAACCGAAAAAGCCAGTCCAATGTGCCGCTTCTAGGCACAACTGAACAACTGAGTCACTGCGAACACGCCGACAATCCAGCGGTCCCAGACAGCACCTCCCTACACGCCACAACTGAACAAAGCCCAGAGTCACCGTGAACGCCACAAACAAACAAAACCACTCACCCATCCAACTGTTGTGTTTCATTTAAAGTCCAGTGCGGTTTATTTGTGAAAAAAGTTCGAAAATAGACCATTTAATGACAAATCCAGAGCGCCTAATAGCCCGGAAAATACAGTACTCCATTAATATGGGTCATGAAGACATATCCAATGGTGTAGTAGGGATTTTTTAAGTGGGGGTATGCAATTTGTGACTTCATTGATAATTTTTACTAAAAATTATGCAGAATCATTTTATTAACATTAACATACCTACAGCACATATATCATAGACTACAACACATGTGCCCAGGACTGAACCAGGACTAAAACAGGACTAAACCAGGACAGGTGATGGCTGCTTTAGCTCCATGGGGCGTGGAGCTCTGAGCTGGTCCTTTCACGGTCACCTGACAGTCTATGTGGACACACCTCCGGGCCCATCCCAACACTCAGTCCTGGTTCAGTCCTGGTTTAGTCCTGGTTTAGACCTGGTTTAGTCCTGTTTTAGTCCTGTTTTAGTCCTGGTACAGTCCTGGTTCAGTCCTGGTCCCCTTATGTCGCAGGTCACTATAGGACAGTACTGCAGATATCATGAGCCTATGCAGGTTGTTTTCACCATTGTCAATAGCTCCGGTTTGACATTTAAGTTGTAGTTATTTTATATTTGTTATTTTTTTATATCTCACGTCGGGAGAAGTGGGTGGACAGCGCTTACTACGTCCACTACACCTCTGGACACATTCCACCCCCCTGTCATCCATCTGAAATGATGTAATCCAACAGTACGCAAACACATGAAAGCAGGAAGGGTCAGGGTATATAACTGTGCTTGCCAGATCATTCTTCTGATGATGGAGGTTGAGGAGTCAGAACTGTGCTTTCCACACCTCCACAACAGCTCGTGCAGAAAACCTCCGAGCCACACCTCTGAGGCTCACATCACTCTGGTGCTGCTGGTCTTCATGTCCATCACCACTACTCTGCTCAACCTGCTGGTCATCATCTCTATTGCACATTTCAGGTACATCTATAATGCTTCATATTTCTGACCAGAATACCTTTCTTTGCTTTCCTTCTTAATCAATACTAAAACTAGCATCATAACTAGATATTCGGTTGAACAAGTTATTTTTTCCTAAATAGTTTTTCAATATATCTATATCAGGACTAGTAAACAACCACTTGGTAATATTAAAGAAATGTTCAAATTACAGTCTATAAAGGTTCTTATGGTGCTTTCTTTTTGGTATCAATTGAGTTTGAAACTTGACAGTTGTAACACAATGTCGATGTAATTTAATAACCTAGTTATTGCTGTGCTTTGTTTCTTTTCAGACAGCTGCATTCTTCTACTAACCTCATCCTCCTCTCCCTGGCTGTGTCGGATTTCTTGGTTGGTCTCGTGGTGACGCCAGTTTTCACCTATATTACGACCTCCTGTTGGTATTTCGGGGACATACTATGTGTTTTATTTTATGTTGTAACTGTTATTGCATGCACTGCTTCTATAGGTTCAGTAGTTCTTATTTCCATTGACCGATATTTGGCCATCAGTGACCCTCTGCGCTACTCTATTAAAATGAATAGGAAAGTAATTAGCGTAAGTATTTCTGTTTGTTGGATAAATGCATTTCTTCACACCCTTATTGTTACATTTGAGAACTGGCTCAATCTCGGGGCGTATAAATCCTGCCAAGGAGAATGTACAGTATTTTTTTGGATAGAATTTGACCTCATGTGGGCTTTTGTCATACCAATCAGCATCATTATCATCCTGTATGCCAGAGTTTTTGTTATAGCTGTGTCCCAGGCCAGAGCCATGCGTTCTCATGTTGCAGCTGAAAAGGGCAAAATCTCCAAGAAATCCGAGACTAAAGCGGCCAAGAATCTAGGCATTGTTGTGCTAGTCTATCTTCTCTGTTATTGTCCATACTACAGTGTGGCCTACGTAGATACTGTGTTGATCTCTCTAAATTCTCCAGTTCAAACCTTTTTGTGTTGTTTAGTCTTTATGAACTCTGGCCTAAACCCTCTCATCTACACCATGATCTACCCCTGGTTCAGAAAATCAATTAAGCTCATTGTCACTCTGCAGATTTTGAAGTCTGGATCACGGGACTATTTGGTTTTGTAGTCATTTCTTGTTGTTTTATTTATATTTAATCAGCTTCTACCATATAAATGTATTTATCAACATAATAACAATAATAATGCATTTTATTTAATGACATGTTTTAGGAATCTCAAAGTTACCTTAAAATAAAAAAAAAAAAAAAACTAACCAAAAAAAAAAAGTAAATTCACAAAAGTACAACATAAAAACAGTAAAAGATACAGAGTACACACTTGCACTTCTATTATAAAAATGTCATAATGTTTGAATTCTAAAGTACTTATGGATATGGAAATCAAGCAAAAGCAACAGAGTTTTCTTTTTGTTTGAGGAGCAACCAACATTTAACCATGATAATCTCTATATATTTTTTCATGTATGCTGTGATTAATTCATTATTAATGAATCATTGCTTTTATATAACACCTTTCAAGACACGCAAAGAGCTTTACAGAAGGGAGGCTGCCAATCTGTGCCATCGGCCCCTCCGACTACCACCAACACTCCACTTTCATACTAGGCAATGTGGGTGAAGTGTCTTGCCTAAGAACACAATGAGTTTTTGCCATTGGTGCCCCCCTGTGGCACCTGATTTTCCCAGTGGTCTCTCATCCAAATACAACTCAGACCCAGCCCTGCTTAACTTCTGAGATCTGCCGGTGATGACTTGTGCACAGGGAAATAAATATATGTATTCAGAGTTGAACGTGTCCTTGTATGTTTTTAACTGATGCTCAAATAAATAACATGGTTTGAAACTCTGTTATCATTGGGAGGTTTGTTCAGTAAGATTCAAACTGTATTCTGAAGGTTGATGTCTTGAAAATTATGATGACTGTCATTTATGTTGACAATTGGCAAGACATGTAGGTCTTTTGTACTAGGTTGGTGTCATGTAGCATTACATGCATCTTGACAGATGATATGCAGCCCACGTCATCATCAAATGTAAATGCCTCAGATTCTTCCCCTAAGACTTTCCTTGCTGCTTCTGTGTTTAATATTGGAGGTCTCACAGGTGGATCCCACGACACTGGTCTTTTCTCTGCCTGCTCTGTGTGACTTGGTTGTTGAGACTTAAAACTCTGTTCTATATTTGTCTTCTTTCGACAGTTAATTTCCTTTGGTCTGATGAATAAACTGTCTTGACTGGTTCGAGGTGTCCAATAACTTAAAAATTTTAACCCCTTAGTTGCCAGTTTGAAAACTTTCACATGTAGTGAAAAAATTACAACTAAAATATAGGTATTTTTCAGGAAGCACAAGTCAGGGTATAATGCGGTACATTTTTATATGTTTCCTAGGAAGCGTTAACTTTGTCTAAAATCTGAAGTTTGAGGCGTTTTTTTGTTTTTGTGTAGGATCAGATAAGAAAAACTTCACAATCACCATAAGGACATAAGTGTCCACTCACTAAAACAGCTGTAAAATCATCATAGATTAATAATTCAAACTTTTTTTCAACTAAATCAAAAGATCTATGCCTGCTCTAATCAAAAATATCAACTGTAATCCATCTGAAATTATGTAATCCTCTAGAGCACAAACACATGAAAGCAGGAAGGGTCAGGGTATATAACTGTGCTTGCCAGATCATTCTTCTGATGATGGAGGTCGAGGAGTCAGAACTGTGCTTTCCACATCTCCACAACAGCTCGTGCAGAAAACCTCCGAGCCACACCTCTGAGGCTCACATCACTCTGGTGCTGCTGGTCCTCGTGTCCGTCATCGTGACTCTGCTCAACCTGCTGGTCATCATCTCTTTTTTTTTTTTATGTATGATTTATTTATGCTTTTTCAAAATATAAAAGACAAATTATATAAAGATGTATAATATCAAGGCTGGTATACAATGTAAATACTTCACAATTTACACACCTTTAAAAAAAAAAAAAAAAAAAAAAACAAAACAAAAAACAGAAAAAGGCCTACAAAAAAACAAAAAAAAACAACAACAAAAACAAACAGAATATGTGCTACTATAACATTTAATCTTAGATTATATCAATCACTCGATACCCATGGATACATGCTATAGGGCAACACAGCTCATGGGGTCACCTCCAATGTCAGAGACATTACATGATCAATAAAAGGTAACCAGGCTTCAGTAAATTTAGAGCCAGAGCCTTTGAGAGAGTGTCTTATTTTTTCCAGTTTCATAAATGAAAGGGCATCTTTTATCCACTGGGAGTGAGTGGGTGGGTGAGGGTCTTTCCAGCGCATTAGGATAGCCCTCCTGGCCAACAGTGTAAGAAAAGCCCACCAGGTCAACAAAACAGGGTGACAAGGAGTGACCGGCTGGAAGAATCCCAAAGAGAGCAGTCAGTGGGGACTGGCAGACCCTAGCATTGCAAACAACTGATAGAGACTCAAAAATAGTATTCCAATATGTTTGATAATGTAGGACAGGTTAGAAACATATGAGTTAGATTAGCTGGGCCCGATTTGCATTTTACACAGTTAGGATCAGTGCCTGGGAAGATTCGGGCAAGCTTACTCTTTGACCAGTGCACTCTATGGACCACTTTACATTGAATGATACAATGTCGGGCGCAGATTGAAGAAGAGTGGACGTGCCTGAGGACGGACCTCCACTGTTCCTCATCAATCTCCACACCAAGTTCCTCAGACCAGGCCACACGAAGATGATCAGATGTTACTTTGAGAGCGGAAAACAATAGGCTATATATTTTGGAAATTGCACCTTTCAGAGAGGGCCTGATCTCCATGATAGATCCATGATGGTACCATCAGGAATGCCAGGAGCACTAGGGAAGTGTCTACCAATGAAATTTCGGGCCTGTAGAAACCTAAAGAAGTGGGAGTTGGGTAGATTAAAGTTTAAGGCTAATTTGGGCAAAAGAAGCCAAAACCCCCTCTATGTAGAAATTTTTTTACAGAAACCAGTCCATGGCTCCTCCATACAGCAAATGTCCCATCAGTTAATGATGGGGGAAACAAAGGGTTACAGTGGAAAGGGGACAGAAAGAGGTATTCCCTGAAATCCAAAATGTTCTTTAAACCTGGGTCCAAATTTTAAGACAGTTCTTAACTATAATGTTATTAGAGTATGATGTGGGTGATGATTTAAGGGGTAGACACAAAAAGGGATAGTAGAGAAGCAGCAGAGTCACATGAGATCTCCTCTATTGGCAGCCAAACTGGCATGACATCATTAGTATGGCACCAAAAACAACATTGTACGGATGTTAGCAGCCCAGTAATAGAATAAAAAATTTGGTAAGGCAAGGCCTCCATTTTCTTTATCTCTTTGCAGTATAATCTTTCGTATTCTGGGAGGTTTCTTGTTCCACAAAAACTGTGCAATAGTGCTGTCAAGTGACTGAAAAAAAACGTTTAGGAATAAACACTGGTATACACTGAAAAAGATAAAGTAATTTAGGTAGTATGTTCATTTTGATGCAACTAATTCTACCCGCCAGAGAGAGAGGCAGCATGGACCAACGGTTGCAGGTCTAGAGTTAACTGGTCGAGTAATGGATTAAAGTTGGTCTTGAAAAGATCTGAAAATTCCCTGGTTACATGAATACCCAAATATTTAATACTATGTGCAGATGTTTTAAAAGGTAAGCTGGAAAAGAGGGTATGTAATGGCAGCAGGGTTAACAGGAAGGAGTTCACTTTTATTAAGGTTTAATTTATACCCTGAAATCTGTCCAAACTCCTTTAGCAGAGTCAGAACCGGGGGCATGGAGATACCTGGATCCGAAACAAACAGTAACAGGTCATCAGCGTATAAGGCTACTTTATGTACTGAGCCACCCCTCAAAATGCCATGCATAGAGCTGGATCTGATGGCTGCTGCAAGTGGCTCTATGGCTATTGCAAACAGGAGGGGGACAGGGGGCAACCCTGCCGAGTTCCACGGCCCAAGGAGAAATATTCAGAGTAATTATTATTAGTGCGCACTCGTGCCATGGGCCGAGCATATAACAATTTGATCCACGATATGAACTTATCACCAAAACCAAAGCGTTTCAGGGTGTAAAATAAATAGGGCCATTCTACCCGGTCAAAAGCCTTTTCAGCGTCCATGGAGATTACTATTTCGGGGGTGTCAGAGGTTGAAGGCGAGTATAAGATGTCCATAAAGCGCCTGATATTGTGATACGAATGTCTGGACTTAATAAAGCCTGTCTGGTCTGGATTAATTATTGTAGGCATTATTGACTCTATTCGCTTTGCTAGCATTTTAGCCAGAACTTTAATATCTGCACACAGCAATGAGATGGGACGGTAGTTGCTGCAGAAACGGGAATCTTTGTCTTTCTTTAAAATAAAGGAGATGGTAGCTTGTCGTAAAGTGACCGGGGAGGACACCCAAATCAGTGGATTCCCGCAGCATGTTGAAGCATCAGGGGGGGACAGTTTGTCAATAAAAACCTTATAAAATTCTGATGGAAAAACCATCAGGACCAGGACTTTTCCCACTCTGCATAGACATGACAGCATTCCTGAGTTCCTCAGCGGTGAAAGGCACATCCAGTTCAGCAGCTCTATCTGGTGCAACTGTAGGAATGGTAAAATGTAAAAAAAAAAGTTTCATAAAAGTTGTCATCTGGCAGACACTCAGCTGTGTATAGGGAGGAATAATAGTCTTTAAATGTATCGTTAATGGTTTGTGGGTTAATTGTAAGTACATCAGAGACATAGACTTCGGTAATATGCTGAGCTGCTGTTGACTGCCGGATCTGGTGGGAAAGTATCTTGTTAGGCTTATCCCCAAACTCATAGTAACTATAACGAGTCTTGGTCAGTGATTGCACAGCCTTATCTGTGGCCAATGAATCAAATTCAGCCTTTTTTATGAGCAGCTCCTTGATCAATTCTGTGTTAGGGGATTCTGCACACTTAGTTTGCAATTCAGATATAGAATTGTAAAGAGCATTGCTCTTCTGAGATGCAACCCTTCTTTGGTAAGCTGTAAAAGATATTATCTCACCCCGCAAAAAAGCCTTACATGCTTCCCATGTCGTGGCTGCAGAAATTTCTGGTGTGACATTAGTTGAAACAAAAAGGTCTATGCGCTCACCAATAACTTTAACAAATTCTAGGTCATTGAGTAATAATGGGTTGAGTCGCCATGGAGACCGCGACAGGGTGCTGCCTGGTAGCGAAATATCCAGAGTAACAGGTGCATGGTCCGATATTACTATGGGTGTGTATTCGCAGAGTTTCACTGTAGAAAGCAAACTATTGTCTACCAGGAAAAAATCTATTCGTGAAAATGTGCCATGCACTGGAGAAAAAAAAGAAAACTGCTGGGCAGAGGGGTTGAAATACCGCCATACATCTGATAATCTGTACTGTTGCATAAATAGTTCTATGACTTTAGAGGATTTAGACATGGGGTATAGTTTATTTTGAGGAACGGTCAAGTACCGGATTGAGACAACAGTTAAAGTCGCCACCAATGATAAGTTGACTCCCGTTCAAATCAGGAAGAGAAAAAAACAATTTCTTAAAAAAGTCCTCACAGTCATAATTTGGCCCATATACATTAACTAGAGCAAGATTGTTTCCACTGATTTTACCTAAAACTATAATATAGCGTCCATTGGGGTCTGATATCACCTCTGTCACTGAAAGCGGTACAGATTTATGAACAAGGATAGCAACACCCCGTGCTTTGCTGTTGAAGGAGGAGTGATATAATTGCCCCACCCACCCAAAACGAAGCTTAGGGTGATCTGCCATTTTCAAGTGTGTTTCTTGCAAGAAAGCGATTCTTGTGTTTAACTGTTTTAAATGATTAATTACTTTCTTCCTTTTTACTGGGGAATTCAGCCCTTTCACATTCCAGCTAACCAGTCTTAATGCACCACCTGGTGCCAAAGAGATGTTAGGACTAAACATACCTCATTATAAAGTAACACAGGCTTATATTGGGGTTCGGTGATTGAAGCTGATACAGAATTTGTAGCACATAACTGATAAAATAAAGTAGCAAAAAGACAACAAAAAGAGGACAAAAAAACAAAGAAAAAGAAAAGTTGTTACAAAAGGTAACAACCGAAACTCTGATAAACCAATCAGCATACTGTAAAACTTCCTAATTCCTAACTCTCTGCAACCGCATTAGTGAACAACAATAACAATTATTAATGTTATTTTAATAATGAAGAAAAAAAAAAACCTGATGATGAATATTAACCCCTTCAACCTCACTTAACCTATACCATAAAAGCGCTCGCTGCGTATATACAGTAGTGCGGTGTACAGTATACACGGACCAGACCGCGAGCTCAGCTCAAGTCTCCCCTCTATCAATGAAAACAGACAGATAAATTTATAACCCTCAAGAGCGGTAACAAACTAAACTGACACGTTAACAGTGAGTGTCATAGAGGAGTAACCACTATATAGTAGCAAAAGAATAGAGTGGTTACCACATTTGTTTAGGAGCCGTTGCCCAAGTCCTGAACAAACTTATCCGCTGCCGCTGCTGACAAGAGCCATTTCTTCTCCCCGCTCGGCGTCGTGATGCGCAGCTTGGCTGGGAACAGGAGCGCCGGGCGGTATCCTCGCTTGTACAGTTCGGCCATGGAAGAGCGGTATTCGTTGCGCTGCTTCAAAACCTCCGGGCTGTAGTCATCGTAAAAGCGAATCGGATGATCCTTATACGACAGGGTTCCTCTTCTACGAGCCTCCCGTATAATCAGGTCTTTCACCTGGAATCGGTGGAGACGGAGGATCACAGGGCGCGGTCTTGCTCCGGGTGCGGGTTTGTTGCCAGAGGTCCGATGCGCACGATCAATCTCCGGGGGAGTAGGGAGCACGCTGGGGCCAAACACTTCAGCCAGAAGTTGAGAGAGGAAAGCGGTTGGTCGGGGACCTTCTATGTTCTCAGGTAAGCCAACAATACGAATGTTTTGACGCCTACTGCGTCCCTCCAGGTCCACCACCTTCTCCCTGAGCCAGTCATTGTCTTTTTGCAAAGTGCGGCACTTGTCCTCCACGTATGTCAGGCGCTGATCGAGCGAGTCTGCATTGTCCTCCAATGATCTGATACGGGCCCCATGGTCCTTAATGGAAGCTTCTACAGAATCCAGTTTTGAGGTGAGAGACTGGAATGAGGACTTGAACTCTGAGGAAAGTGCCTCTCTATGTCCTTCTAAGAGCGATGAAATGTCCTCCAAAGTTAAGCTAGCGCTAGCGCTAGCCGTGCTAGCCACGTCTTTTTCGGCTTGTTTTCCTTTGGACTTGGACATGATGACTGCGTGAGAATATTCAGAGTAGCAAAAGAAACTATCGGGAATCAACAGATGCAAGATATGAGGAAGTTGCGAGGTCCAAAAGGTTTAAATAATAAAGCTAATGCGGGAGCAGGCAAACGTGAGTCTACTCCTCTCGCTCCATAACCGGAAGTCC